AATTTTATTGTTGTTGTTTTTTATAATTAATTTTTGAAAAGATTTATTTATTTATTTATGTAAGCACTGGGTACAGTCAGAGGTGCAGGAGGGTGAGAGAATTCACCAGAGCCAGAGCGGAGAGTAGAACAGGCAGAGTGACGAAGTACACTGCTCAGGGGAGCAGCGGGCAGCAGGAGAGGTCTGCGCACCATGTGGGACCCTAGCCTGGTGGCTGGGAATCGAACCAGTGCTGAAGAGGCTGTGGGCAGCTTCGCAACCCAATGCTCAACCGCTGCGCCACCGGGAGGCCCTATAATTAATGTTTTTATAATAAAAGTTTTATTACTAACTTTTATAACTTTGAGGCAACAACAAAGTTAGCATTTGCTTCCTTCATTTGCTCTTTTAAAGTATTTCCACATGCTATAATATAAAGTTTGGACAAAGGCTGAGCAAAGAATTACCTAAATAAAATGATTCTAAATATAAATTCTTCATTAAAATCCAAATGCTGATTGTCATCTAGAGAAAAGCTCTATATTTTAGACCTTTTTAAAATTTAGGAATTATTTTTAAAAGGGGCAGAGTGGATATCCACACAGAAGAATCACATTGGATTGGCAGAACAGACACCATATTTTTATATGTGAAAGGTGAGGGAAAGAAAAAAAAACTGAAGCAGAAATGCAAAAATGATGAAAATGCCAACATGCCAATATCTCTGGGGAAAGATGTTATGACATGCTTATTATTTATAGTATTTCATTTGAAATTTATTTTTTAAATCCTTTAGTTTTTAGATTCATTAGTTTTTTAGATCCTTTAGTTTTAGGTTAACAACAAAATCTAGAAAAAGGTTCAGAGATTTCTCATATACCTTCTTCCCTTCCACATGCATAGCCTCCCCCATTAACAACATCACTTACCAGAATGGTATTTTTTTTAAAGATATATTTATTTATGCATACTAGATCTGGGGTACAGGTCAGAGGTGTGAGGGATGAGAGGATTCACCAGAGACAGAGTGGAGAGCAGAAAAGGCAGACTGACTGAAATACACTGCTGAGGGGAGCAGCAGGTGAGTCAGGAGAGGTCTGCTGCACCATATGGTAGCTCCCTGGCTCCCACTGTGGCTGCGGATATCTTCATAGATTGTGTCTTAACCCCTTGCACCACCAGGGAGGCCACAGAATGGTATTTTTTAAATCAAGGATGACACTACAGTAAAAATCTGTTATTTATGAAACCCTCCCATAAGTTTATCTGTGTATATTTGTGTATGTGTGCGTTATTATTCTACCAGAGCAAGATAAACTACCTGCAAAATCAGCCCAAGAAGCTGTTTCTGAGTAGCCTCATCATAATTACCCAATGTCATAGTTTACCTGAGGGTTTACTCTTGATGTTATATATTCTGTGAGTTTGAACAAACGTATAATGATATGTTTCTATCAATATAGTATCACAAAGAGTATATCCAGTGTCTTAAAAATCCCCTATGTTCTCCCAATTCATCTCCCCTCTCATCTCCCCACCTCTTGCAACCACTGATATTTATATTGCCTCCATAAATTTTACCTATTTCAGAATGTTGTGTAGTTAGAATATGGCTTCTTTCCCCTATTAATATGCATGTAAGTTCCTTCCACATCTTTCCATGACATGATAGCTCATATCTTTTTTTAGTGCTGAATAGCATTGCATTGTCCAGATGTATCAGTTTATACATACACATACTGAAGGATATTCAATTGCTTTTGCATTTTGGCAATTATGACTAAAAATATTATAAATGTGCAGGGTTTATTTTTTGTCGCATAAGTTTTCGACTCCTTTGGATAAATACCAAGGAACATGATTTATTGATAATATGGTAAAAATATGTTTAATTTTCTAAGAAACCTTAAAAATGGCTTCCAAAGTGGTCAGACCATTTTGCATTCTTGCCAGCAATTTATGAGAATTTCTGTTGTTCCACATATTTGCTAACATTTGGTAATATCAGCATTCTGGATTTTAGCCATTGTAATAGATTGGTAAACGTATCTTGTTTTGATTTTTGTTTCCCTGATAACATATCGTGTTGAGCATCTTTTTATATGTTTCTTTGCTGTCTTTATGAAATGTCTTCTAACACAGGAAAATGCTTTGAAAGTGTTCTCTAATTACTGCAATATAATGCTTATAATATAAAGCTTGGGCTATGGGCATTTTTACCATTGGGGTATGGTATAAATATCATTTACTGAACATTAAGAGCTCTTTACAATTCTATCACAATATTTTCTAATCCCAAGTTTGTTGTAAAATCGGTACAATTGAGGTTAGAAATTCAAGTTGAAAATGAGAAAACTCAAAGGCCATAGCAAGATAAGCCCTTGGAAAATCAATCCCAAACTACTTCTAAGTAGATAATTCAATTTAGAAAAGTTCAAGTTCTTCTTAAGTTTCAGAGATACATGGATAGAATGTGATCATAGGTTGAAAAGGTAAAAAATGATCAGTTAAGGAAAGACTGAATTGGGTCTCCCTGGTGGTGCAGGGGTTAAGTCTCAGCACTGTGAAGCAATTCGTAGGCACTGCAGCACAAGTTGGATCCCTGTCCAGGGAGCTAACAACCTACATGGCGCAGCAGACCTCTCCTGTCTAGCCTGCTGCTGCTCCCCTCAGCAGTGTATTTCAGTAGATCCACCCGTTCTGTTCCCCACTCTGTCTCTGGTGAATCCTCTCATCCCCTGCACATCTGGCCTATACCCCAGTTCTTATATGCATCAATGAATAAAATAAATCTTTAAAAAGAGAGAAAACTGAATTATCAGAAAGAAAATTACCACATTAGGAAAAATCAGAGAACCACCTATGAATTTCTAGCAATGTCTAGGGAAGACAGTGTCATAATTAGCAAATTGGAATACTCAAGTCTCCAACCCAGTGTTGGAGAAGGATAGGTAGATCAAATTAAATCCTGAGGCAGTAAACATTACGAGCATCTACTGACTTGTTTAATGATTCCAGATTCACCATGGAAATTTCTGATTATAATTTAGTTTTGTATGTGTGTTATCTAATAGATTCAGAATACGATGTTCAACAATCTGAACATTCCTGTGTTTACATTTCTCATTATAAACTTTTAGATTGCTTTTGATATCTTGTGACTTTAGTTAGTTTGAATTAATCACACTAATCCTGGTTCTACTGACACACTGACAGAATAGTAGGTAGTATCTACATGGAAGTATCTATATCCTATCTCTAGGGAAATGCATGTGGGAGAGAACATCCACCCATTTGCAATCAATAAAAGAACTAGGTAGTCATACAGATACATCATTAAAAGAGGAGTCAGTAGATGCTCTTACTGTTTACTGCCTCAAGATTTAATTTGATCTAACTTATTTTGCCTATTCTCTTTATTATTCTTGTTGAAATTTACTCTATGGCAATGTTTTTCAGACTTTAATTTATACTAAAATAACCTGAGGAATTATTTAAATTATAAATTCCCGGGTCTCACTCACAGAGATTCTGATGTAGTTGGTCTGGGATGTTGTTTATGAATCTGAATTAATTTTTTAAGCACCTATAGGATACTGACCCTGAGAAATAATGGATGATCAGCACTATTCTACAGAGGCCTTTCCCATCATCAATATGATTTTTATTCTTTTTTTAAGATTTATTTATTTATGCATACAAGTACTGGGGTACAGGCCTGAGGTGTGGGGAGTGAGAGGATTCACCAGAGACAGAGTGGGGAACAGAACAGGCAGCCTGACTGAAATACACTTTTTTTTTTAAAGATTTATTTATTTATTTATACAAGCACTGGGTACAGTCAGAAGCGCCGGAGGGTGAGAGAATTCACCAGAGCCAGACACGGGGGGCAGAACAGGCAGAAGGACCAAAGTACACTGCTGAGGGGAACAGCGGGCGGCAGGAGAGGTCTGCGCGCCATGTGGGACCCTCAACCAGTGGCCGGGGAGCAGCTGGGGATCGAACCAGGGCTGCAGTGGCTGCGGGCAGCTTCACAACCCAGCGCTCAACCACTGCGCCACCGGGGAGGCCCCTGAAATACACTGTTGAGGAGAGCAGTAGGCAAGACAGGAGAGGTCTGCTGCAACATGTGGGTAGCTCCCGGGATGGCTGGGGATCAAATCGTGCTGCAGAGGCTGCAGACAGCTTCAAAGTGCTGTGCTTAACCCCCGCCACCAAGGTGGCTCTGATTTTTATTCTTGAAGGATTCATTTGCTGGGCAAATTTTCATCCTATTTTTGTTAATTGGCTAAATTTGTGACATCATAACCAGTTCCAGGTGTCCAATTGGTAAGAATTGTATATTCAAATCACAGGGAGCATTGAGGAAGTAAACAACAACTGTATGCAAAACTGATTGGGGTTGGCCAGCTTCACTGTGTCATGTGTCCTAGGTGAAGAACATAAAATAAGATCTTTGAGAAGGTTTACCCTGTTCAGGAGAAGAAGCAGATAGGAGACCTATCACCCCCCCAAAATCGCCATCATCTCTTTATAGCCAGCCCAAATAAAACTAAATAAAAGCAATGTGCTTCCTATAAAAACAAAGCTTAACTTCCTAACTTTTTAAAAAATCCAGTTTGATATACCTGTAAAAATGAGTAACTGACTGAGGATATGCAGTTGGAAAAGGATTCAGAAAATAGAACAGGGGAAAGTAAGAGTCACGAATTGGGCTAGAGGGTATAGACTAGAGCTACAACCAGGAATCGGCAGTAGTAGGTTTGAGTTAATCAAACTCCAAAGTCCATATAACTGTTTATTAGATTTTTCCAACATTATTATTTATAAGAATCACCTGAGGGTCATGTTAAATATGTGAATTCATTACCCGAGAAGTTATGATTCAGTAGGTGTTATGTGATGCCTAGAAATCTGTATTTTGAAAAAGTATCCCAGATGACTTTGATGCAGATGCCCAGTGGACTTACTTTAAGAAAACTTTCCTTAGAGGAATGGCTCATCAACTTTTTTTATTTCAGGATTCCTTTACACTATTATAAATTATTGAGGACTCCAGAGTGCATTTGTTTATGTGGTAAGTAATATCTGATGAGTAACGGGTACAGATATTTATAGTATTCAAAATTAAAACTGAGAAATGTTTAAAATACTAACTCATTTGAAATAAGATAACATTTTAACTAGACAATATCTCTGTGAAAAGTAACTATATTTTCCAAACTATCAATAGCAAACCTTGATGTATTATTTTACATTTTTACAATAAATTACTTGAAAGCTGAGTTAGTAGTTTTCATATCTACTTCTACATTCAAACTCTTGTGATATGATATTTTGGTTGAAGTATTTGAAGAAAAACACAAAATAGCCTACTTGGAAAAAGGAGAACCATACAGAATCACAAAAAGGATCATGGAGACCCTCTGAAGTCCTGGGACCACACTATGAATTACTATCTTAGAGTAATGTCTGTTAATGCTATCAGCAATGTCTGTGTTGGTCAGTATATGTTAATTATCAAATTTAAGCACACCAAGGAAAGTTGAAAAGTAACATACTCCTTACATTGTTTTGATTTGTTAAATTATTTCATATGATTTTCCCCAATATTATCTTTTCTTAATTTACTTTAAATTTGAAGGAACTATAGGAATAGAAAATGGAAGTTTAGGTGTTAGGGCAGATTTTTTTTAAAAGAACTGGTTTTTAAAACAATGATTATATTGAGGATAGAGGATTTTCAGTAGGCAATCAGAAACGAATGTATTAGGTAACCAATTATAGGTTGGAAAACTGAAAACAGGCATCAATCTGTACTTACTTCGATAGTTAGTTACAATTGAATAAATAATTATAATGAAAATAACTATAATTATGAGAAAATGTTAATCATATATGACCTATTGAGGATTGTTATTTTGCCTGAATAAAAGAATGTTTTATTCTGATCAGCTTATCTTTTTAAATTTGGTTAGTGTTTTTGTTCCTTTAAGCTTGAGCTCTAAAACCCATACTTACAGTCAATTTAGTACAAGTACTTTAACAAATAGTATCTTACTTCTCATTTATGTTTGGTCAAAGTGGAAGAACCTAAAAAGAAAAACTAGAAAGGAGCACCTGGAAAGGTGAGTGGAAAACCAAGATTATGTGTAATCTTGGAAGCCTGGAGGAAGTGTTTCAAGGATGAAAGAATAATTCACTCTGTCACTTGATACTGATCGATGAAGTTAAAATAAAGAATGGGAATTGATTATTAGATTTAGCAGCATAGAGGTTATTAATGATTCGAATAACAAAAGTTGGCCCATTGGAGTGGTTGAGGAAAAAGCCCCATTGGTGTGTATTCAAGAGTGAATGGGAGGAAAAGAGTTTAAAACTGTATTTATAGCTATTTCTAGGAGTTTTGCTATTAAAAAGGGGGGAAACAGAGATATGGGGAAATTGCATTGAGAACTGTGATTTTTATTGGTTCAAATGGGAGAAACAATAACATTTATTGCTGAAGTTTCAAGAGGTTCGGTCATGAGCATAATACACACAGATGTTTTCCTATTAGAACCTATAATTTAGTGGAGAAAATGGTATTAAACAAATGATCACATGCATAGATAATTAGCATTACAGTATTAAAGGAAAAAGAGTTTATCATTACGTAATTGTGAGATCTACCTTTTTCAAAGACATCAAGAAAGGCTCCTTATATGTGGAATATAGAAAAACAAAACAAAGGGTCATATAAAGTCAAACTGAATACTAACCCTTGAAACTGACTGTGCTATGTGGGCAACCGGAGTGGGGGAGGGGAAAGGAGAGGGATGAGAACAGAGAGATGGAGGAGCACAAGGGTCTATGGTGGTGGACTAAGATTCTTGGTGGTGGGTGCACTCTGGCAACAATGCCTGAAGGGGGGAATCCTACACTCCTATAATGCAAACAACATGTAAATCAATATAATACAATAATAATTTTTTTAATAATAAATTTTATTTTTATATTCCCCATACAATTGCAACCCCTTATTTTGAAACCAATCCTCCCCTCCCGCCCTCTAACCCCCATAGAGTGTCTCTGGTTCATAGTTTTTTGTTGATTTTGATTTTCACTTTCTTATAGTTATTCATTTTCCTGGTCCCTTATTTAAGTTTTTCTATTCCTGCTATGAGTGAGACCATCCGGTATTGTTTTTTTCTTTCTGGCTTAATTTCGCTGAGCATGATCCCTTCGCCTCCATCCATGTTGCTGCAAATTGCATGTGTTTATCTTTTTTGAATGCTGAGTAATATTACATTGTGTGTATGTACCACATCTTCTTGATCCAGTCATCTATTTTTGGGCATTTGGGTTGTTTCAAAAGCTTAGCTTTGTAAATAGTGCTGCTATAAACATAGGGGTGCAGGTGCTCTTTGAATTGATGTTTCTGTGTCCTTTGGGTAAACCCTAGGAGTGGGATTGCTGGATCATATGGAAGCTCTATGTTTAGTAGGTCCAGAAATCTCCACATAGCTCTCCACAGTGGTTGGACCAGTTTGCACTCCCACCAACAGTGCAGAAGAGTTCCTTTTTCTCCCACACCTCGCCAACATTTGTTGTTGTAGTTTTTTTAATATGTGCCATTCTCACTGGTGTAACATGGTATCTCATGGTAGTTTTGATTTGCATTTCCCTGATTGCAAGTGATGTTGAACATTTTTTCATATGCCTGTTGGCCATTCGCATTTCCTCTTCAGAGAAGTTTCTTTTAGCTCTTCTGCCCATTTTTTGACTGGATTATTTCTTTGTTGTTGTTGAGTCTCATCAGCTCTTTGCAGATTTTTTGTGATCAGTCTTTATCATTAGTGTGGGTGCAAAA